AAAAATAGATATTTAAAGTAAATAAATCCATTGAAGTAAATAAATAAATTCAAAAATAGATATTTAAAGTAAATAAATCCATTGAAGTAGATAAATAAATTCAAAAATAGATGTTTTTACGTAAATAAATTGGAGGAAATGAATACATTTAAATATATATATATTTAAGTAAATAAATTCATTTAAGTAAATAAATAAATTCAAAAACATATATTTTTTAAGTAAATAAATTTAGGTAAATAAATAAATTTAAAAATATATGTTTTTAAGTAAATAAATGCATTTAAATAAATAAATAAATTCGAAAAAAATATTTTTAAGTAAATAAATGTAAGTAAATAAATAAATTTGAAAATATCTATTTTTAAAGAAATAAATTTAAGTAAATAAATAAGTTCAAAGCAAATAAATTGAAGTAAATAAATCAATTGAAGTAAATAAATAAATAAATTCAAAAAAACATATTTTTAAGTAAATAAATTGAAGTAAATAAATCCATTTAAGTAAATAAATAAATTCAAAGCCATATTTTTTAAGTAAATAAATAAATTTTAAAATATATGTTTTTTAAGTAAATAAATGGAAGTAAATAAATAAATTTAAAAAATATATCTTTTTAAGTAAATAAATCCATGTAAGTAAATAAATAAATTCCAAAATATATATTTTTAAGTAAATTTTTCACCACAATTCACCAGCCACAGGCACTCTGGTAAAGCCCAGCTGCCCGAGGGTTGCAGATTTCCCTCATTTGCACCTTCTGCTTTCTGAGCTCTGGGAAAAGGGAATTCGTGTCCCCTGACGCCCGGGAGTGAACATTTCCTGCAGGCACAGAGCAGTTGGAATTCCAGCAGGAAGAGCCACAAACAATGGGAAAATGGTGGAATTATTGTCGTGCTGCTCATTCGGAGAAATGGCAATATTTTACTGCCCAGCACAACAGGTTTCTGCACAAGATATTTTAAATTTGCTGTTGGAGTAAAGGATTCTCTGCCTCGGCACCCAGGGTCAGNCAATATTTTACTGCCCAGCACAACAGGTTTCTGCACAAGATATTTTAAATTTGCTGTTGGAGTAAAGGATTCTCTGCCTCGGCACCCAGGGTCAGCTCCTCACCCCGATCCCTCCGATTAGAAGGCAAAAATCACCATCCAAGACAGAAAGGGGATTAAAGTCACATCAAAAAGAGCAAAACTCGAAGCTGAAGGTGAAATTATCAGTGGGAATCTGCAGCCAAGAGCAGAATTTATGCTGAATATTAAACAGGGATGTGTAGGACAACATATTGGAGAAAAGAATATTTTCCTGAAAAAACTCCATTTTTTACTTCTGTAGAGAAGACACGGGACATGTTACACAAAAATAAACTGGAAATACAAAATCAGATCCTCCCTACCAGCAACTGGGTGAATAAAGGTAAAACATCCGTGGAAAGCATGGCCCGACACTGGGTTTGGAACCTGTTGGGGCATAAAAAACCCAAAGTTTTAGTCAAATTTTAGTCAAAAACAACAGCTAGAGGCAAGAGAAGAGCAAGAGAAACTCCAGCAAGCTCAGGGCAAAGGTGGCCAACAGCCACAGCTCACAGCACAGAGAAATGAGTGAGGAATTTAAACATTTAGAGAAATGAGGGAGGAATTTAAATAAATTACCTTTCCTCCCCAGCTAAGTCGGACAGGATGTTCATGGCACTTTCAGCCCTTGCATCAGTGCACTTGACAAATGCCATCAAAATATGCAGCCATCTGGTGTTCAAATAAAACAACCAAAAATTGCTGTCAGCCTTGGTTTAATCATTAAAGATCAAAATTATAATTTTTTTAGGTTGTTGGCATTTCAAGCCACAGTTAAATCTGATTCTTTCAGCACCCTTTGAGATGTGGCTCATTCCTTTCAGCTTTCCTCTCCAGGAAAAATGGACAAAGTCTCCTGATCACCCGTTTTTACCCCAAACCAGTAAATGGACATTTCTCAGGGTGGCCTGGGAGGAAGCAGCAGGACAAAAGCAAAGCACTGGGTTTTGATTTTATCCTGCGAGCCAGGACAGCACCAAATAACCCCAAATCCCCATTTTTAAATGGGGAGAGGCCCTCAGCTGGAATCAGGAGATTTTAGGGGCACCAGGGTGAGAGTGCTGCACAGGTTTAGAGGAGGGGACTCAAAATTACAGGAATTAACTGAAATCCTGATGTTTCACACATGAAAACTTCCTGCAGCTCTACCCCACACATCCAATTCCACTTTTGCCAGGCCAGGCCAGTCGCCAAGGGGCAGGAGGGTCAGGGTCACTGTGCCAACTCAGGAATTCACAGAATCACAGAATTCACAGAATTCAGAGAATTCACAGAATCATAGAATTCAGAGAATCACAGAATCACAGAATTCAATCACAGAATTCACAGAATCACAGAATTCACAGAATTCACAGAATTCACAGAATCACAGAATCACAGAATCACAGAATTTACAGAATCACAGAATTCACAGATTCACAGATTCACAGAATTCACAGAATCACAGAACCACAGAATTTAGAGTCACTGAATCACAGAATTTAGATAATCACAGAATTCACAGAATCCCAGAATCCCAAAACCCCAAAATTCACAGAATTCACAGAATTCACAGAATCCCTGGGTTGGAAGAGACCTTCAAAGTCATCCAGTCCAGCCCAGCCCCAACAGCTCAACCCAACCCTGGCACCCAGTGCCACTTCCAGGCTGGTTTTACACACACCCAGGGGTGCTGACTCCACCACCTCCCTGGGCAGAGCATTCCAGAACTTTATCTCCTTTTCTGTAAAAAACTTCTCCTGCTATCCAGCCCGAATTTCCCTTGGTGCAGCTCGAGGCTCTGAGCTCTGGTTCTGTCCGTTCTGGAGAAAAGCCCCGAGCCCACTGAGCACAGCCACCTTTCAGGAGCTGTGCAGAGTGCTGAGCTCACTACTGGGCACAAAATGAATACACGGAAGTTTGGTGAGTTCAAAAGAGAAAAAAAGACAATTTTATTTCTGACCTCGCAATATATAGAGTTCCAAAAGTGACAGTAGGTTGGAGGATGGAATTGCCACCTCTCCAACCACACTGGTCAAACCAACAGCCCATCAATTCTCTCCTCCCACAAAGAAAAATGCAAAACAATCATTATTGACATGGACAGTGTGTGAGAACTCCAGTAGAAATGTGTAAATGTTATCAGAAGGCATGGAAAGCTTTTAAAAGAACTTTAAAACTTTCAACAGAACTATAAAAAAAAACGTAACACTTTTAAAAATCAGGGCAACTGCCAGCCCTGAGTGTCCTTTTCCCCTGGAGCTGGGGCAGCTCTGGCACTGCCAGGGCACTCTCCGGGGCTGCCCACCTGCTCAGGTCCTGCCTGACCAGCAGCCCCCGGCCGCTCTGGTGCTCTGAGTAGAGAGAGATCAGTGCCAGGGCCTCCCTCTGCATCTGGGCTGTGCCACAGGACAGCAGCTCTGGCAGCTGGGCACTCACTTCGGGCTGGGCCAACAGGAGACGCTGATTTTCTTCTGGAAGGAGAGAGAAAATCTCACTGCGGCGTCACTCACTGCCATCCCTTCAGTTATTTTATTTTATTTTATTTTATTTTATTTTTTTTATTTTATTTTATTTTATTTTATTTTATTTTATATTATATTATTTTACTTTATTTTACTTTATTTTACTTTATTTTACTTTATTTTACTTTATTTTACTTTATTTTATATTATTTTACTTTATTTTATTTTATTTTATTTTATTTTATTTTACTTTATTTTATTTTATTTTATTTTATTTTATTTTACTTTACTTTACTTTACTTTATTTTATTTTATTTTAGTTTAGTTTGTTTTATTTTATTTTATTTTATTTTATTTTATTTTATTTTATTTTATTTTATTTCATTTCATTTCATTTCATTTCATTTCATTTTATTTCATTTTATTTTTTTTTATTTTAATCCCTTTCGCTTATTTCAGCATGAATATCTTTTTGAATACCTTGACCACACATGTCAACACAGGCACCAATATTCTGCATTTCCACTTTACCACCCACCCCAGCCCACTTCTCACCCACGTGGCTATTCCCTAAGAACAGAGGCAGGCACCTGCCCAAGCACTGTTGATTGCTAATTCTAAAATAATCCAGCCTTTTCTCCTATAAAACTCCGCTTTTTGCAGCTATAACTGCTTAAAACAGAGAAAATTGTGCGAGCGGCGTTATCTTAAGAGCAGCAAAAATCACGGGGAATTTCCTCCCCACCCCTCGCGTGAATTTGAAACGCTCCCAGGGTGGAAATCCCATCCTGCCAAAATCCTGGCTGCACCCAGCACCTCCCCAGAGCTGCACTCGGGGTCACAACCCTCGGGGTGCTCTGGGCGAGGGTGGCCATGGCCAGCCCCGAAATGCCAAATTAATTAATCTCAAATTAACGGGGCTGAGGGGGGCTCGGGCTTTACCGTTCCCAGCGCAGGCAGCTCGCCACAGCACGAGGAGGGACACACAGAGCTCCGCCTCAGCAGGGCTCTTGGCCTCGGCACAGAAGGCCCTGAGTGAGAAAATCACCTCGTGAGCAGAGCAAAGCAGTGGGAAATATCCAGGAGTGGGAATTTGTAGGTGCTTCACCCCCCAGACCTGTGTGCAGCCAGCACCCAATTTAGGATGAACCCTAAAAAGTGCCAGGAGCACCCAAATATTCAAACATTCGCTGGTGCCCAAGCCCAGCATCAGAGGGTGCAGCCAGAGCTTTCAGATGCTCTTTTCTAGTCAGATTTTTTACCCAGGGAGTGGGAATTTGTAGGTGCTTCACCCCCCAGGTCTGTGTGCAGCCAGCACCCAATTTAGGATGAACCCTAAAAAGTGCCAGGAACACCCAAATATTCACTGGTGTCCAAGCCCAGCATCAGGGGATGCAGCCAGAGCCTTCAGATGCTTTTTTCTAGTCAGATTTTTTACCCAGGGAGTGGGAATTTGTAGGTGCTTCACCACTCGGGTCTGTGTGCAGCCACCACCCAATTTAGGATGAACCCTAACAAGTGCCAGGAGCACCCAAATATTCAAATATTCACTGGTGCCCAGCAGCAGAGGGTGCAGCCAGAGCCTTCAGATGCTCTTTTCTAGTCAGATTTTTTCTGCAGAGCTGCTCTCACCAGCAGGGATAGGATAACTGCCCACAAGGAGCAGACACAAACAGCAAGCCACGCATTCTCCTCCCTGCCTCTAAGGGAGCACTGTTTGTCTCGGAGTCAGGTATCAGTCCCTCCGTTCAGGCACTAAAATCTGGGATTACATCCTCCTCTGATCAGCCCATCTGCATTTCAAGAGGTGATTCTGTTTCTGGAAAACAATATTCCCATTTGCCCGGGCTGGAGTCCCCTGGGAGAGCTCTCACCCTCTGACAGGCTCCTTGCTGAGGATACTGAAGCCTTTGTTGGTCCTGAAGAGCGTTTGCCCAGTGCCTGCAAGAGGCAGAGACAAACAGCTCAGCTGTGTGACAGCCAGGCGGGCTCCTGCTCTTCCTGCCCGCTGCTAAAAGAAAAGGTCACTGCATCAGCAGCTCTGGGGAGAAACATCCTCAGAAATGGGGGAAGCTCAAGGAGGAATGAAGCAGGAGTGGCTCTTGAGCTGAAAATTGCTCTGATTGATGCCCGGCGCTGTTGGCTTCGAGTGAAAGATTATTTAGGAAGGCTGAAACACAAAATTGGCTTTGTAACTCAACGGGCTTTAACACAGAATAACAAATATTTAAAACAAATGAGACCCAGCAGCTCAGCTACAACATCAGTCTGATTCTAAAGAATGCTGTAAGCACCTACTGACCACGCTGAAATACTCAACAAAAAAAAAACTCAACAAAACCCAAGTTTTGTGTTTTAAATACCGGAACAATCACTCTGCTCCTTTACAAACTTGCCCTCCTCTGCCTGGGTTGCACCTCCCCAAGTGAACAACAATTAACAAAATGAACAATTAACAAAATAACTCACAACTGCTCACAACTTCTGCCAGGAGCCTGATGCCCCCTGTGTAGTAGAGGATGTCGTGGCCGGGGCTGCTGAGCCTCTGCAGCAATTCCTGGATGGAAGAAGCAGCAGCACTCCCAGCCTGGGCCTCCCTCGCTGCTCCCTCCTCATCCCTCAGCCTCTTCTCCTCCAGCCTGGCCTCGTCCACACAGGCTGGGAGAGCACAAAAAAAGTGTGGCAGGGGGGTTCTGTTCCCTCTGCATCAGAGAACAGGAGTGAAAATATCTATTTCTCACCTTTAACCAGCTTTTCCTTCTGGGGATCAATCTGCAGCATCTTCTCATAGCACTGCCTGGACTTCATGGGGAGAAAAAAAGGTTTTTGGTTTCAGCTGGAAATAGGGAGATGGCATCAGTGATAGCCCAAAAGTTTTTGGGGCCACAGTTCTTAGTAAATGTGAAAATTTATGGAGACGCAGGTGTCAAAACTCTCAAAAAAGTCAAATATTCTCAGTCAGTCCCTACATCTGCCTGCTCTGGCAAATTCAACAGGAATTTTCCAGTAAAAACCAGGGAGGAAAACCAGAGTTCCAGTGAGAAAAGAGAAACTGAGGCACGGCAGGAAACCTCCCTCTCACCCAGGAATTCAGGGAGCTTACCTCAGCAAAGTGCTGCAGGGCCAGGTGAGCTTTCCCCATGAGGAAATAGGCTTTGAGGCAGTTCCTATTGCACTGAGTTCAACCAGAAATTATGATCTATTATTAGCTATATGTTCAGAAAATTTCAGCCTTTCAATGCTTTTTGCAGCATTCTGATTAATTATTAGAGCTGCCCAAAGCAAAGACTAGGGTATTTATATAATTTATATAATTATTTTTATATATAATTTATTAGTAATCAATAAATAATATATAAATAATATTTTATGTAATTATTTATATATATATAAAATTTATTAGTGGTGCCTAAAGTTTTTATGCTACATTATTGCCCCCCAGGCACCCAAGAAACACAGGCATGAGGTGAGGGTGGAAAGCAGAGTTTCCAAAAGGGTTTTTTTTAATTTTCCTGCTCATTTGAGTCAAAAATATGGATTTCTGTAAATAATGCTGATTTTAGAAGTTTTACCAGCTGACAATTGTGGAATTACCTTTAGTGCCCACTCGCAGTCACTGATGGCTTTCTCATACTCATGCAGCTTCAGGTAGGCCTGAAATACACAGGAAAAAAGTCCAGGCAGAAGAACTGGAATCCTTCAAACAATTAAATTAGATTGCTGATTAGCCCGGCCATTGGTTTTGCAGGGTATTTTCCATTCCTAACTTGTCTGCCATCTCCCTGGATTTTCTAATTTAGAATCAATTGAATAGAATTTTACACACCCAGGGCATACAAGGCAAACAGACACTGCAAAGCAAATATTTCACTCTACAGTTATGGAAGTGATTCCCGGAAAAGTATTAATAATAAAAAAAAAAAAAAAAATCAGAGTATTTTTTATAGACACTGCAAAGCAAATGTTTCTTTTCTGACACTGCAAAGCAAATATTTCACTCTACAGTTATGGAAGTGAATCCTGAAAAAGGATTATTTATTAAAAATTCAGAGTATTTTTTATAGAAACTGCAAAGCAAATGTTTCACTCCACAGTTATAGAAGTGAATCCTGGAAAAGCATTAATAATAAAGCAATCAGAGGATTTGAATAGAACTGGGAATTGGAACGATTTCTCCTGTGCAGGAGCAGGGGTGCACCACATCCAAGGGGTGCAGCAGAACGATGTTTTGGGGTTTTACCCCGGCACAGCAACACAAAATCCAGCCAGAAGTGGCTCCTTCCTGCCACTGACCTGGGCCCTGTTTGTGTAGAGCTCCTGCTTGTCCCTCAGCTTCTCCAGCCCCTCTGAGTAGCTCTGGATGGCCAGGGCGAAGTCTCCTGCCCTGAAGGCTTCGTTCCCCTGCTCCTTCAGGGCTGCAGAGCAGCAGAATGCCTTGAGCACACCCATCTCCCTTCCACCCATTTCCCATCCATCCATTTCCCTTCCACTCATTTCCATTTCATCCATCTCCCTTCCACCCATTTCCCTTCCATCCATTTCTCTTCCATCCATTTCCATTTCACTCATTTCCATTTAACCCATTTCCCATCCATCCATTTCCCTTCCACCCATTTCCCATCCATCCATTTCCCATCCATCCATTTCCCTTCCACCCATTTCCCATCCATCCATTTCCCTTCCACTCATTTCCATTTCACCCATTTCCCTTCCACCCATTTCCCATCCACCCATTTCCCTTCCACCCATTTCCCTTTTACCATTTCCCATCCACCCATTTCCATTTCACCCATTTCCCTTCCATCATTTCTCTTCCATCACTTCCCTTCCACCCATTTCCCTTTTACCATTTCCCATCCATCCATTTCCCTTCAATCCATTTCCCTTCCATCCATTTCCATTTCACTCATTTCCATTTAACCCATTTCCTTTCCATCCATTTCCCTTCCATTTCCCTTTTACCATTTCCCTTCCACCCATTTCCCATCCATCCATTTCCCTTCCACTCATTTCCATTTTACCCATTTCCCTTCCACCCATTTCCCATCCATCCATTTCCATTTCACTCATTTCCATTTTACCCATTTCCCTTCCACCCATTTCCCTTTTGCCATTTTCCATCCATCCATTTCCCATCCACCCATTTCCATTTCACCCATTTCCATTTTACCCATTTCCCTTAAATCCATTTCCCTTCCACCCATTTCCTTTCCATTTCCCTTTTACCATTTCCCTTCCATCCCTTTCCCATCCATCATTTCTCTTCCATCCCTTTCCCATCCATCATTTCTCTTCCACCCCTTTCCCTTCCATCCCTTTCCCATCCATCCCTCTCCCCTTGCCCTCTGAGCAGACAGAGGCCTCTCTCTCCTGCTGGAACAGCCCCAGCATTCCAGCCCAGCCATTATTTTCCATTATTTCCATTCCCCTCTGGCCAGCCCAAATTCCCTCCCTCCATCCCAAAGCTGCTCCAGCAGCAGGGGATCCTGATCCTGCAGAGACCCAGGGTGCAGCAGAATTCCTGATCCTGTCCCAGGGCTGGGGACACCCCCTCAGTCCCTGACATTTCTGAGGTCTCCCAGCCGTCACCGTTTGCCAGCTGCTCATTCCTCCTCCTCCGCTGGGCTCGCTCTTTGGCATCCTTTTCCAGAGCTGCCAGGAAGCCACCTTCCAGCCAGGAGAGTCGGTGGCATTTTAGTTGGGGGGGAGAAAAGATGAAACTTTATTAAAATAGAGAAGAAACAATCATTCCTAGGGTATTTCTGAGTCGTTTCTTAATAAAAGCCAACACTAAGGGGCCATTTCAGCAATTAAAGTGGAAGTTTTTGTCAGCAATTAAATGGCTGACAAGCTGTCACAGACAATGATGATGCCACCCCTGAGGAACTGCAGGCCTGCCTTGCTGCAGCTCCTCTCCAGGGCCAAACAAACAGGTTTGCTTTGAAATTCACAATAAAAGTGTAAAAAGATGAGAAGCCAGAAGAGAACAAGGCTCCCACCTGTGAAAAACACAGCCATGCTGCCAAGACCTTGAGTGTGGTCCTGGATCGGACTGAATTTTGGTTAAAAACACCAGAAAAAGTCATCCTGGATTTTGGCAGGGGTGGAATCAGCTCTGGCATGAGCTCCATCCCTGCCAGGGCTGTTTTTCGAGCTGTGACAGCCTGAGGGGAGCATCGTCCTACCTGCATCTGCTGCCTCCACCCTCGCCGTGCCCTGCAAAAACAGAAACACAGCAGAAAAGCAGGAAAGGTTTGGGGAAAGGCACAGCAGCACGGGGATGCTTGGCTGGGCTGCACAGAGCCCCAGCGAGCCCCGGGGAACGTCTGGGGCACCCGAAACCCCCAGCCTGGCACGCAGGAGCAGCACCACTGACATTGCCACAAAGGATGGCGAGGAGCTGATGATTCCTGACTTTCCTGGAACGTCTTTACCGAGGCAAGGCCTGAACTGAGTGCAGCTTTAATGTCAGGAGGAAAAGCCCTTACAGAAGTGTTGATGAGCGTCCTGTTCACCGTGGTCCTGCTCTCCTCCTCCTCCTCCTCCTCCTCCTCCCTGCCGGCTCCTTGCTCTTGGAGCCTTTTCTCTACCTCAGCAATGGCTTTTTCCTGCACAGCCGAGTCCGGGGACTTCAGGTCTTGCAGCAAATTGGCTAAAAAATCACAGAAAAACCCAGATAAAATATGTATAAACATAGGACTTCAAACGTGGAAGCACCGGGAGTTGTTCAGGTGTCACCTGCTTTGAAGGCACCGCTGGCCAGGATGGCTTTTACCATAAAATCACAGAACCCCAGAATGGTTTGGGTTGGAAAAGACCTTGAAACCCTCCCAATGCTATGGTCCCATAGAGCAGGATGCTCCAGGGTGGCCTTGGGCACTTGAAAGAAATAATAAATAATAATAAACGAACAGAAACTTCCCCAGGGTGGATTTCCTGTCACTTTCAGGAGCCACCTGCAGTTTCTGCCAAGATAACCGAGCAGCAGCAAGCGGCTCCAGCAGCCCGAATAAAAGCAGGAGGAGCTGGGAGTTTATTCCCCAGGCAGAAGGAAGCGAAGCCGGGATCCCCCTGCCCCGGCGATGTTCGCCTGCCCCGGGCCAGCCTCCCCTTCCCCGGTCACTCACTGACATCGTCCACGCGGCGCAGGAAGCGCTGGAAATCCGCCTCGGTGTCCTGGTCCCGCAGCATGGCCGGGACAGACAGCGGGGACAGCGGGGACAGAGAGGGGACA